AGATAAGAGTAATAAAAAGTGCTATCACTGTGAAAAATTAGGGCACTTTAAAAATGATTGTTTTGATTGGAAAAAGAAACAAAAAGATCAGAACAATGGGGAACTGAATAATATTACTGTAGAATCTGAAGTAGATAGTCTGCATGTGATGACCGTAATAAGTGATGAAACAAAAAAGGACTGGATATTAGATTCAAGTTAAACCTTTCACACGAGTCCCATAAAATCTTAGTTTTATAACTATAAGGATGTAGGACTTAGGAAGGTTTATATGTGTGATAATAATTCTTGGACTGTTATTGGAATTGGTGACATTGCCATTAAAATGCATGATGGCATTGTAAGACCAATTAGGAATGTCAGATCTGTCCCTAATCTTAAAAGAAACATAATCTCTTTAAGGATTCTTGAAGATAAGGGACGTGTTTTTATGAAAGGATGTCTAATTGTCATGAAAAGACCAAAGAGAAATGGATTGTACTACCTTGAAGGCAATACAATCCCTGTTCCTGATTCATGTCTATTCTCTATTACTGGAAACAAATTTGAACTATGGCACAACAGGGCGGGTCATACTGGTAACAAAGACCAAAATCTACTTGGAAAAGATGAAATTGAACATTTAAGTTTTTCTGGGACCTGTTTGTTGGGTAAATCTCACAGTATGAGCTTTGAAATTAGTTCCCATAATATAAATAGACCATTGGATTACGTTCATACAGACTTTGGGGGTCCGAAAAACATCCCACCTTTGGAGAAAATAAATATTTCTTGTCTCTTATAGATGATTATTCTAGAAAGATTTGGGTTTATCCTTTAAAGGCTAAATCTAAAACCTTTCAAAAGTTTGGAACTTGGCTTAAGATGGTAAAGAACCAATTAGACTAAAAGTTAAAAATTGATAATGGGCTTGAGTTTTGTAACTTCGAATTTGACAATTATTGCAAGCAAAAGGGAATAATGAGATACAGAACTATTAGACTAACAACCCAACAAAATGGGATAGCTAAGGGGATATAATGCATGTTAATTAGCTCTGATTTAGCTAAAGGTTTCTGAGTAGAGGCAGTCACTACTACAGCTTATCTGATTAATAGATTTCTATCTAGTGTTGTGGAATATAAAACTCCACAAGAGTTGTGGACTGGAAGACCACTGAGTCTAACACATATAAGGTTTTTGAATGTGCTGCTTGTACATATCAATCTGAGGAAAAGTTAGAGCCAAGAGCCATTAAATGTGTGATGTTAGGTTAATCTGAAGGGATAAAAGGGTAAAGGTTATGAGTTTTGGGTGTGCAAGGCATTAAGGTTATTAATAGTAGAGATATATTCTTTAATGAATCTGAAATGCCACGCCTAAAACATAAATCTGAAAATGGTAAGAGTGTTTTGAGAGAGGTGAAGTTAACCAAATTTAACCTATCTCAACCTGTAGAAACTGAAAGTGAAACACCTTTAGCTGAGGAAGATGAACCTGTTGAGGTAGATGAACCTCAAAGTAAAATTGAAACAATTGAGCCTATCGTTCCAACTGATAATATCTCTATTCAAGATTACCAACTTACAAAAGATAGGGAAATGAGACCTAACCCTATATATGAATCTCAAAACTTGAGCGATTTTGCCTTGGTTTTAGGTGAAGCCATTGAACATTCTGAACCTACTTTTTTTGAAGAAGTTGTGAATGGTCTAAAATCCAAAAATTGGAAAAGGGCTATAGAAGAACAGATGCAATCCTTTATTGAGAATAAAACTTGGAAGTTGGTTAACAAACCTAAGGATCATAGGATAATACAATGTAGATGAATTTACAAAATTAAAGAAGGAAATAATCCTAGTGATCTTCTAAGGTATAAGGCCAGATTGGTGGCCAAGAGATTTACTCAAAAGGAGGGGGTTGATTACAGTGAGATATTCTCTCACGTGATCAAATATAAGACTATTAGGCAGATTTTAGCATTAGTTGTTCAATTCAACTGGGAATTAGAACAACTTGATGTTAAGACTGCATTCCTACATGGAAAATTGGAAGAGAATACCTACATGAGCTAGCCTCAAGGTTTTGAGGTGAAGGATAAAGCTTATTTTGTGTACAAATTGGAAAAATAACTGTATGGACTTAAACAAAGTCCTAGACTGGTACAAAAGATTTGATGCCTATGTACTTAAGATAGGTTTTAAAAGGAGTAACTATGATGCTTGCTTTTACTATAATAACTCAAAGATGGGTTGTGAGGTTTATTTGCTTCTTTATGTAGATTACATGCTTTTAGCTAGTTCAAGTAAATCTAAAATCATAAGAATGAAAAATCTTTTAAAATCTGAGTTTGATATGAAATGTTTAGGGAATGCTAAAAAAGATTTTTAGAATGGTTATAAAATAAGATGGGCCTGAAAACATGTTAAATGTTTCTTAAGAAGCCTATCTAAACAAAGTTATTACTAAGTTTGGCATGAAATGATCAAAATATATAAATGTTCCATTAGCTACTTTATGAATCTTTCCAGTGCACACTTTCCTAAAACAGAGGAGAAATTAAGGGAGATGAGAAATTCTAATGCTATAGGCTCTGTTATGTTCTCCGTGATTACAACCAGACCCGATTTAGGTTATGCAATTAGTTTTTTTGAGCAGATTTATGTCCAACCCTGGTAAGCCCCATTGGATAGGCTTGAAATGGCTGTTAAGATACATTGTTGGTACTTTAAATCTTGGACTTGTGTATGAAAAAAGAAGAGATGAGCTAATCTTAAAAGGTTATGTGGATGTCGATTTTGCTGGTGATAAAGATAACAGAAAATCTACTACTGCTTACTTTTTACACTTGGTGACAATTTCATAACTTAGAAATCACAATTGCAGTCAATGGCAATATTATCTAGCTTATCCAGTACTGGAGTCGAATATGTTGCCATTACTGAGGCTGTGAAAGAATGTATTTGGTTAAAAGGAATTTTGAATGAATTGAACTCTATGTATGATACTCCCATTATGTTTACTGACAATCAAAGTGCACTTTTACTTAGGAAAAATCCCGTATATCATGAAACGTTAAAACATATTGAGGTTAAGTATCATTTTATTTGGAAAAAATCTCTACAGGTGAAGTTAATTTGTGCAAAATTCATACGGATAAAAATCCCTCAGATATGGGGACAAAAAGTTTTATAGGTTGCAAAATTTAAGTCTTGTTTGTCTATACTGCGTATTGACACGGGTTAAATTTTTTGTGGGTATTGGGTGATGATGATGGACTATAATTTCCATGTGTAAATTTAGCAACCAGAGAGAGTAAGGTGTTATTGAGAACCAATGTGAAGAATTGAAAGTGTGTGCTGCTCACTATTAAATTGGCGCTATTTCTGAAATTTGCCTTGGCTGATTATTTGATTTATGGACGATCCACGTGGCAACCTCTAAATGGTTCTTTGGCTATTTCATGGATTGTGCTAGTTGAGGAAGGATATTAACCGTTTGATCAAATTGATGGCTGAGATTTATTCTTGGTACAAACGTTTCATTTAATTAGGTCGGACGGTTACTGTAACGACATTTTTGATTTTTTTTGCCGTCTCTTCCGTTTCTCTCTAGATTCTTCATTTTTGAGAAGGTTTTCTTTCTTCTTCTTCTTTGGGTTAAAATCCTTCCGTGTAACTCTGGTTTTTCTGATTAATCCTATAATTTTTGTCCTGCCATGGTAACTCTAGGTCGTGTGAAGTCTGTATTGTTATAAGGTTTGATTAGGACTAGTTAGGGTTGATTGTTGTGAAGGATTTGTGTCTTGGTTTTGTAGATCCATATGGATCGATGATCAAACCAGAGGTTTTGAGTGGTTTGATGTATACTATACTTTCTCTTCGAATGCTATTTTGCACTAGTGGAACGGGCCACAGTCCCCAAACCCCCCCAGACTAAGCTTATTGGCCGAACTGGTTCAACAATTTGGTGTTCTTACGTTCTTTATTTTGATTACGTTTTGTGATTGTGTTTTTGCTTTGTCTTTTCGACAAATTATTTCATCAAAAATCCTTACAGATAAACGCGGAGCCCAACTGTTGAGATGATTTTTCACAAAAATTCCAGACCGAGAATAGTTTACAAAAATTATTTTTTAAGATATCTTTAAGCTTCGGCATGCTCTTCTTAGCTACATGTAGCCGCCCAGCTTAAGTTGATTTCTTTTTATATCTTTGTCGTGGGACATATCAAGAATTGAACTAAACTTTTTTTAAAGTCATACTAGTATGTAAAAATCCCAGTAAAACATTTATTAGGGTAAGGCTCACCAGTGCTCCTAAATATATATAACACAAGCATTTTGGTCTAACTTCAGTCGATGACAATGCAGAGAGCCTTCTTCATGCTGTTAATCTAGTCTCTTCTTCAACATTGGTGTACCAATTCGATTGGTTTATCATATTAACAGTTGGATAGCCTCAAAATTCGTAGCCAAAAATCAAAATAAAAGGAAACCCATTAGAATTAAGCTTACAGGGATTTTTACCAAGAATTTTTATAGGTGATGAGATGACAACATTGAATTGTCTGGTTTAAAGTTTTTTTTTTTGTCCAACATTCAATGAAATTGTCACAAACTGACAATCTGTCAAACTTTTTGGTGAAATCCCTCTTACATGTAGCAAGATTGAACCTATTATTTGTAGACAAAATGAATTAAATGCATGAAAGTAGCCTAAAAGTTTTACAAAAGCATTACTTCTTAAAGCACGTTATAATTAGGCCAAAACATGCTGCTACATTTTTCACCCTATTTCTCTCTACTGGTATATTTTACAGCAAGGTGAATACTTTCACTCAAAACTTGGAACAAAATTAAGTTACAAGAACAAAATTTTATTCAAAAGTAACTTTTATTTACTTTTTTGGCTGATTTTGCAAATAAATCTCTCTAATGAGTTGGTTTAGTGCATGCTAGGATGAGCCGCCCCCCAACATGGAGTTCCTTGTTGCCTCGGCCACTTGCTTCACCTTTTTCCTCACCTCGTCTCCTTCCCTTCCAAAAGTTCTTTCACTTTATTCTTCAAGCTCTCCGCAGGCACAAATTTGTTGCTCGTGCCATTAACTGTTTCAACCCGTAACCCGATTTTAATCTCTTCCACTGCCATTTTTGTATTAAGGGGTTGCTTCACCATTATTGGCCATGTTAGTATTGGAACTTCTGCACTTATACTCTCCAACAACAAGTTCCAGCCACAGTGACTCAGAAATCCCTGCACGATTTTGTGTTCAAGAATCCGTTTCTGATGAACCATTCTTTTACTACGATCCTTCTTTCCTTTATCCTGTCTTTAAATTCGTCACCTAATTCTATTTCATTTCTTCTCACTACCCACAAGAAGCTCACTTTCGATTCTTCTAGGCCATGAGCGATTTCTCTTAACTGTGTTGATGATATTTCTGCTTGGGACCCGAATGCAATGTATAGAACTGGTTTTTTCTGTGCCAGTTTTTGATCCAACCATTTAATCCATCTACATTCCTGGTGCAATACGGGCCCCATTTTTTGTTGTCGGGCGATGCACAAAGGTCCGACACAGAATGCTTTTGGTGTAGACTCACGGTTCCAGTACTCTGCATAAAGTGGCTCGAGCTCGTAGAAACTGTTCACCAGTAGACCATAGCTTTTGGACAGGGCTATGATCATCTCCATTATTAATGTTAATGTATATATATATATACAGAATGTACATGTTAGTTAGTCCCACATTGATTAGAAAGTAAAACATTCCTATCAAGTTAAGCTATAAATAGGATGTCTCTCTTGTAAACAAATTACAATATTCAATATAATTCTATTCTGTTTGTATTGTCTTATTTTCTCTCTTAAATTCAACTTGGTATCAGAGCTACTATTCTTAGTGGTTTTCGATATATCAAGAGTTGAGTATGCTCTGTGATTGCCACTATTAGTGGATC